ATAATAATAATATTCATTAACAAAAAATGTCACTATTAGAGCACTGCTAGTTCATTGCATATGCAAAGAAACATAACAGAACTACGAAGCCATGACATGTTGCGAGAGCGATTCTACGCAAGTGCTGTTTAAAAGATGGATGTTTCTAGCAAATACACTCAGACCTCATTATAACAAAGTAACACCTGCCATGAAAATACTTCGTTATGTTTGAAAATTCCTTATAAATAATGATTTATATCACATGACAAAGCTATTCTTCACTTACTTCGTTATAACTGATAATTCATTATATCTATATACATTATATCTGGATATGAGCATACATAATTATTGTCACCAAGGTCAACTAATTAACAACTGGTAGACAACACCTGCACCACTATATCACTATTTTCTAGGCTTGTGCAAACAGTAAATTTTAAGTCTGAAGCAAATTCAAAGCAAATAGTGATTGTCAAATAATTTTTAATTGAATTGAAATAGTGTATATATCACATATAATAAAAAAGGGGGCACATTTGTCATGATGTAACTAACCTGCACAATATTTTTAAAACTTGAAACAAGGCCTGTTTAGAATGCTATTTGGTAATATAAAAAAAGTGACAAAAGCTTTGAATAGTAAGAGAATTTGAATTTTGGTAGGATTCAAGTGATAGCCTATAAAATATGTTAATTTTTAAAATTTTCTGTGCTTGGAACTTATAAGTCAGTATAACAAGCTTTTAAGCTTAGAACTTGAAGAATGAATCGATGTGAAGGTAATATCCTCATTTAACCTTGAAGTGGGGCTTCGCAGCAGTGTGGATTTCTTGCGAGTATGTGTTTTCATGACTCATCACCACTTCATTGCAGTGAAACCACTTTTACAAAAAGTTACATGCTAACCAATAAATATACACTGCTTTCACGGCTTGGCACCTCTCCACTGCAGTGAGGCTACCTTTACAAGGCGTCTCACGTAGACTAATATGCACCTATTCATTCATTTCGAAAAGTTAGAAATTTTCAATATCTTAAATTCGATTCGAATACTGCATTACTCGTTTGAATATTCGCATAACCCTACTATTTGCCTTGCTTAGACATGCAAGTTGGCAGGCAGCACTTTTACCATAATGTAGTTTTCCATTAGCCACCATGACCCCTTCTGTACAAATTATTACACACACTTTCAGGCTCCCGCACTTTCAAGCCTTCTATTGCGAGGTTTTTAATCAAGCTCTCAAAGTTGTTTGAAAATGCCAAAGGCAGTACGGTGAAACCAAAAGGGATATTAACGAGAGCCAATCCTCAAGCCACAAGTCCTATCATCATCATCAGCCTGACTATGCCCTCTGCAGGGCAAAGGCCTCTCCCATAATCTGCCAATCAACCTGTTCTTGTGCTTTCTGTTGCCACGTTATACCCACAAATGTTTTAATCTCATCGGCCATCCGAACTTTCTGTCTCCTGTTCGTCTGTTTGCCTTCTCTTGGAATCCAGTCAGTTACCCTTAATGACCAGCGGTTATTCTGTCTACGTGCTATGTGTCAAGTCCGTATCTATTTCTTTTTTTTTATTTCAACTATGATATCTTTAACCCTGGTTAGTTCCCTGAACCACTCTGCTTTCTTCTTGTCTCTTAAGGTTACACTTATCATTTTCCTTTCCGTCCCTCGCTGGGTCATCCTCAATTTAAACTCAACCCTCTTTGAAGTCTCCAAGTTTCTGCTCTGTAAGTATGTACTGGCAAGGTCCAGCTGTTATATACCTTCCTCTTGAGGGCCAGTGGCAGATTACCATTTATAATTTGAGAATGCTAGCCGAATGTGATCCACCGCATCCTTATTCTCCTAGTTATTTCACTCTCATGGTTCGGCTCCGCAGTTGCTACCTGTCCCAAGTAGACATATCGGTTTACAATATCCAGCATCTCTCCACCTACTGCAAAGAACTGCTTTCTGCCGGGACTGTTGCACATTACTTTAGTTTTGTGCAGATTAATTTTCAGACCTATTTTTCTGCTTTCCATGTCCAGTTCAGTAATCATGACCTGTAATTCATCCCCCGAGTTACTCATCAAGGCACTGTCATCAGCGAATCAAAGGTTACTAAGGGTATTCTACATTACCTTTTATTCCTAACTCTTCCCAGTCTAGGGTCCTCAATAACTCCTGTAAATGCGTGGTGAATAAATAGCATTGGAAAGATTGTGTCTCCCTGACTTACACCCTACTTTATTGGGATTCTGTTGCTTTCTTTATGGAGAACTATGGTGGCTGTAGATCCTCTGTAGATTTCTGCTAGTATGTTAATGTAGTGTTATTCGATGCCCTGATTCCATAGTGCCTGCATTACAGCTGATGTGTCGACTGAGTCAAACACCTTGTAATCTCTGAAAGCTATGTATAGAGGTTGGCTGTATTCAGCACATTTCTCTATTACCCGATTGATAGTATAAATATGGTCTATTGTGGAGTAGCCAGTACGAAATCCTGCTAGGTCCTTTGGTTGATTGAACTCTAATATCGCCTTAATTCTGTTATATATTATTTTTGTATATAGTAACGAATGAACAATAAGCTGATCGGCCTGTATTTTAACAAGTCCCAGACGTCTCCTTTCTTATGGATTAAGATGATATTGTCGTTTTTCCAAGATTCTGGTACCCTTCCCATCAAGAGGCATTTCATACATAAGGTGGCCAATTTTTCTAACACAATTTCTCCATCATCTTCCAGGAGGTTCATTGTCACCTTATCCTAATTAGCAGCTTTGCCTCTTTGCATTCCTTCTAGGTCTTTCCTTACTTCCCCTGTCATAATTGATAGGATGTCACATTCCTCTGGTCCATACTTGTTTTTCACAATATCATCCTGGTTCTTTTGACTACTGTACAGCTCTCTGTAGAACTCCTTCGCCATCTCGACTATCCTATGCATATTGGTTATGACATTGCCTTCCTTGTTCCTCAATGCATACATCAGATTTTCGCCTATGCACAAGTCTGCCTTCACAGCTTTTAGGCTTCTGCCGTTATTTTCAGCCTGCTCTACTCTCTTCACATTATAGCTCCTGATGTCGGCTATTTTACGCCTATTGATTAACCTTGAAAGCTCCACTAGCTCTATTTTGTCGGTTGCATTTGAGGCTTTCATCCTTTGACGTTTCTTATCAAGATTTTTCGCCTCCCGAGATAGTTTGCCAGTTGCTTGTCTAGTGATTGTACCTCAAACTTCAATTGCACACTCTTTGATGATACTAGTAAGATTATAGTTCATTGTGTCAATGCTAACGTCAATTATCTTTGAGTGCATCGAACAGATTCTGAAGCAAAACTCTGAATTCCTGTATTTTCCCTCTCACCACTAGTTCATTAATTGGCCTCTTGCGTATCAGTTTTTGTCCTTGCTTTTTTTAAATCTAGGTGAATACAAGCTCTTACCATTGTATGGTCACTGGACCTGATCTTGCCAACTACTTCTACATACCGTACAATGCCTGGGTGTGCACGCAGAATGAAGTTTATTTCATTTTTAGTTTCGCCATTAGGACCCACTTACTGTTAGCCCATTTACTGATGAAGGTATTTAAGATCCGTATACTACGTTTTGTGAGCTCTAATAATAATAACTCCCCTTTTGCATTTCCAGAGACGATGCCATATTCCCCCATTGCATGGTCTCCGGCCTGTTTCTTGCCTACTTTGGCATTAAAGTCACCCATCAGAATAGTATACTGCGTCTTTACTTTATTAATGGCTGACTCTACGTCTTCATAGAAGCATTCAACCAAAAGATCATCATGGCTCGATGTAGGCATGTAGGCCTGTACCACCTTAATCTTGTACCTTTGAAAAAATTTACTAGTGATACTTGCCACCCTCTCACTGATTCTATAGTATTCCTCTATGTTGCTGGACATATTCTTGTGTACGAGAAACCGCACCCCAAGTTCTTTAATAGCATGGAACGTGTCCAGTAGCATGGAACAGCAGCATGGAACGTGTCCATTCTTCAGCACTGTATAAGCATCACGTGTCCTCCTAACTTGGCTGAGGCCTATTACATCCCATTCAACACCCTCTAATTCTTCGAATAGCACAGCTAGGCTAGCCTAACTAGATAGCGTTCTAGCATCGAAGGTAGCCAAATTCAGATTCCAATGGCGACCTGTTCGGACTTGGGGATTCTTAGCCCCGTCCGCTGCGTCACAGGTCCGACCCCCGGTTTGGACAGTTGCTTCGCAGCCGCTGGGGACTGAGGGTCGAGGGTTAATTGCAGAGTTCATGGGAGGACCTCCCATGAACATAGCAAGTCTTAAAACAATTTCTTTAATAAAAAAATCAAGTACCAAAAGAATAAACTCTTGCTAACATAGCGACAAAGCAAGCAATGCTTCTTCGTGGTATTGTCACATTTTACAGTGTTTTATAGAAGCTTTTTAAGGCTAAAAGTCCCCACATAATGTACTAATATATGTACACAAGAAATTTATTTTTTCTCTCTTATATTCATCTACTTTAGTAGTTTCCCAGATAAAAATACATATTATACAAAAATGTACATCCCACTGGTGTGTAAATACTAACACATGGAAAACATTTACAAGAGTGAATAAATGTTGACTGTGCATAAAATACTACAAACACCAGCAGCCACGAACAGCAATTAATGAAGTGCTTATTTATGGGCTGAAGTGGTGGTCAATTGCATTTGCTAAGACCAATTTACATACTGTGAGTAATGGCCACACGTACAGTATATCAACAATACCAAAGTGTATTACAGAAGACCTACGATGGCCACTCTCAATCAAGAGGAAGAAGGTACAGGATGCTTACGTATCTGTACAGATGAATTCCATGTCCATGAAAATCGACCACTGGAAAAAAAGCTTTGTGCAGCCTATCACAAGTGCGGCAATAACCACATACTTATAATCATAGAGTCTCTGGTTAACCAGGAACCTTGCTGGAGAGGGTGTTTGCGCAGGTGGGTTCATTGCTCACAACGTAAGCACGCACATAAAATTTTAGTTTCAGCAGAATCCCTAGCAATGCCAGTTTATGGAATTGCTGAGCTGGTTGACGCTGTGTTCATGACAGGTGGCTCTCCATCAATCCACTGCATTAGAGGAAAAAAAAAAGACAAAACCAGAATGAATGTGAATAGCCTTTTCTATATACCGTATTTACTCGCATAATAGGCGCACTTTTTTTTCAGAAAATCCGGCTAGAAGTTAGGGGTGCGCAAATTACGTGGGGTAAAATTTTCGAAAATTTTTTCAACTCGGTTCTTGCGCTTTAAATCTGCACACTTGTCAAGTAAAAGGCGACTTTATCGTTTACCAATTAATTCAGCATAAAACAAACATACCTACGTACCTTTTAACGAACAAGCGAGAGCCGTCAACTGCACACACACATGTAAAATTTATTTACACAAAAGTCGTAGCTGTTCCTCCTTTTCCCTATTCGGAGTCTGAGTCGGAGATCACACATTCATCCTCGCCGAGCGGGGATTCGTTTTCGGTGTCCGAATCATTTGCACCCCACAACATGTCATCCTCACTCGCATCCAGTGCATTCGAGATACCCGTCTTCTTGAAGCTTTTCCTGACGACTTCGTCGGAGATCGCCTGCCACGCTTCCACGATCCAAGCGCATAGCATTTCCACAGGCGGCCTCTTAATCTTACCACCTGGAGTCAGCTGATGTTGTCCTCCAGCCATCCAGGTGGTGTACAGCCTTCGAACATTGTCTTTGAAAGGTTTATTCAAGGACACGTCCAAAGGCTGCAGTATCGATGTGAGGCCGCCCGGAATCACTGCCAGATCTGTGCGCAGCTCCTTTAGCTCATCTCGTACGCGGTCTACTAGGTGCCCACGAAAACTGTCCAGGACAAGCATGGACGGCAACAACAGACCACCCGTCCGCCGACCCCAGACTGTTTTCACCCAATCCACCATGAGTTCCGCGCTCATCCAGCCTTTTTCCTGGACTCTAACGTAGATGCCTTGAGGAAATTTTGCCTTTGGGAGCGTCTTACGTTTAAAAATAACGTAAGGCGGTAGCTTACGCCCATCTGCTGTCACCGCCAGCATTACGGTGCATCATTGTTTATCAGCGCCAGACGTTCTGACGATGACGCTCCGTGCACCTTTCTCCTCCACTGTCGTGTTCCACGGCATATCACAGCAAAGGGGGGTCTGATCAGCGTTGCCGATCTGGGACAAAATGAAGTCTTTCTGCTGTCGGAGCTTTATAACAAAACTGTGGAAGTCCACCACTTTGTCCTCATATGCTGCGGGCAAGCGCTGGCACAAGGTGGTCCGCCTTCACAGTGCGAGGCCATGGCGCCGCATGAAACGAGTTGTCCATCCGGAGCTGGCTTTGAACTCTTTTGCTTCGATGCCCTGCGCTCGGGCTATTCTGCGCGCGCCTCAGTCTGCACAATATCCAACGACACAGCACAGCCGTCTTGTCGTAGCTCCCGTATATGCCGGACCAGTTGCTCTTCGACGTTCGGATACCTGCCGGTCTTGGCACCGCGGAAAGCCCGTCGTGTCTTCTTCGTCGCCTTAAGTTTTTTTTCTTGGTCCCTCCAGTACCGAATACTGGTTTCTCCAACGCCGAAATGCCTGCTTGCAGCCCGGTTGCCATGCTCCAGCACGTACTGCACTGCCTTCAGTTTAAACCCAGCCGTGTAGCTCGCGTACTTCCCCATGGTGGAACCTAAGTTCAATACACGACCACAACATACGCACACCGCTTGCAAAATGGCGTTTCTTTCTTTTTCTCTGATGGTGGTGATGGCGATCGAGCCCCCGGCGTTGTACACGTGACCTCCAAAAAGCGCGGCGATTTGGGGGGCATCAGTAATTGATGGAACAGCCGTTTTTTTTTTTTTTTCCGGTCATGCAAGCTTTTTTTTTTTTTTTTTTCAAGTTTTATTTCGACAAACACTTTGGTTAGATCGTTGCACTCCGAATTTTTTTTATTTGCTCGTCGATTTGCCTTCTTTTTTTCTTCAGGGTACGGGGACCGCGTTCCAACTGTACCGCTGGGGGGTAGAATCGTTTCTGATCACGGCCAAGTTCGGGGTGCGCCTATTATGCGTGGAATTAAAAAAAAATCGAATTTTCCGCGACCAAACTAGGGGTGCACCTATTATGCGAGTGCGCCGATTATGCGAGTAAATACGGTATACGTAAAAGCCCGCATATAGTTCAGGGTGTAATTTGGGAATAGCAAACACGAGAAAAAAAGGTATCTAGTTTACACATATCTCGAAAGAGAATTACGACTAGAGTGGGTTCAGTGTTAGCGAGCCGCAAAGCACGCGTTAACCGTCGCCATGACGAGAACACAGTACTGCTCAAGGTCGTAACACTTTATTGCCTACGGTAACAGCAAAAACGCAGTACCGAGCCCATTGCAACAGGGACGGCGGGAAAGCAAATGGGCTTATCCACGCCCCGGGTGAGAAGTACTACACAGGGTGCCACGAGCACATCTCCGTGGGCAAAAGTGATTTACGGTAACACTGGGACAAAAGGGCCCAGTCACTCAAGCGAGGGCAAACTCCGCTTGCGTTGGCTTCCGAGAGGTACGGGTATGACCATGGACTAGGGCACCACACCACTCTTCGGTCTAGCGTACGAAAGGAGGGGCAACAAAAAGTAAGTGTTCGGCGCAGGCGCAAGGCGCCATTGGCGAAGTCCGAACGAGCCCCAAACAAAAGGAGCTGACTGACGGAAAAGAAACGCGTGCTTACCCCTTGTCGTCCCGAAGAGGTTCTCTTTCACTCCCAATGCGTGCGATACATGCCGAGAGACTTCGTGCACGGCGCCACAGTCGACATCCGCTACCGGGTGAGAGGGGTCAAACCTCATTCTCACTTCCCTAGCGTGACAGACCATGCAAGAGGAGAGTCATGTTGGGACATGAGAACGGAAAAAGAGGCGACAAAGCCCGTGAAAAGGCTTCGCTTGTAGCAGCTCGATGTTAACAGAGAGATGTGCAGCTTGCTGCTCCCACACAAAGTCTGCGAGTTCTCGTTCCACGTCAGGAAACGCTTCGTTTTTTGGTCCACGGAAACTTTTTGCTGGCTGCTACAAGTAGAGAGGGCGTCCTTCTGCTTCCGCCAACTGTGAATACTCCATTCGTTGACTCCAAACTGCTGCTCCATGGCACAGTTGCTCATGGTTCCGGCAGCAGCAATTACTTTCCTTTTAAAAGCAGCCGAGTACTGCCTGCGCAGTGCTGACATGGCGTAAAGTCACAGGAGCAAAATCGTGGCCGTCCTTATGGGTGCCAAGTTGAAGCAAAGGCCACTGACCACTGTTTCACGAGTGGGCCTGTGAGAATAGCGCCTCCTGCCACCGCTAATGCTACCTAGCACCTGGCGCAGAAGCGCGCAAACACCTGATGATAATGATAGCACGGTGCTATGCCTAAACCAAAGCTGAATTTTGGCCTAAAACTCTTGGGACCCGCATATAGTACGGGGCTGAAATTTCGTACCCTAGAATCTAGGAAAAAAAAAAAGCAGGCTATACACGGGCTTTTACGGTACATAGTATAGCATGCTATCATGACATCCAGTTAACTGCTATGAGATGCTTTCATTCATGCACATTGCTTTCTCCTGTATGGTGTCCATGGCTTGCAGACATTATTCGATGAACACCAAGCACACAGTTCATTCCGTATTGACTACTGTCGGCACAGATATTACAGATGCGAATCGTTAGAACTTGGCTACATTATGTAGCCTCTCTCTCGCAATAATAGTTCATGGGCAGAACACTTAGTACAACCTCGGTACACTTAGTGCAACCACACTCTCCACAAACACTGAAGCAATACATCAATTCAAGTGCGAATCTGTGGATCAATCGTGAGAAGTAAAAGGCTTAGGAAAAAGTGAAAAACTCGTTTACCAGAGTTTTTCAGAACTTAGAATCTCAACATAGTTGAATACAGCCAGTCAAAACTTTTACAGTAATCAACTTGCTGAATTCATCCAATCTGGGCCCCAAAAAATCTGGCACCACTTGAATGAAAGAAATAATGAGCTTGACAATATATAAGTGAATAATAATAATTATAACAGAACCCAGGGCTATCTGTGGTACCTTTAATAATTATTTTCGGTTGATTTTCTCTGAGCCCAGTAGGACTGGACTTACTGGGCATTTTTGTGACTCAGGTTGCAATTTAATATATAACATGTGAATGTGTAATGAACATGCTGCTTAATCTGAATGATAAAAAATCTGTAGGGTCAGATGGGATTCCTTATGCTTTTCTCGGACATTACACCGAACACATATCACAGCCCTTAGCTAATCCTCTTTAGCCAGTCTATTGCTACTGGTCAGGTTCTGGCTCATTGACTTAAAGCTATAAGGCTGTTCGTGTACACAAAAAAGGAGGACCGTTACTGGTCTTCAACTACAGACCAGTTTCTATCACCTGTTCCTGCTGTAAACTTCTTAACATGTGGTAGCTTAATATATAAACAAATTTTTAACACAGGCAAAAATCCTGATATGCCATCAACATGGTTCCCGTAAAACATTAACTACAATTACTCAGCTCATAACACCTGCGCAAAATTTTCTGAGTGCTTTGCATATGGCAGGACAAGTAGATGTGCTATTTTTAAATTTCTGCAAGCTGTAAGCTTCACTTATTGTAACGGGACCGTGGCGGACACGTCTGCATTGGCTCCGCTGATTGACGTTGTTCAACTGAGTCCAATGTGCTTTCTCTCCAAGATTTCTACTCAAGACTCCGGGAAGTTTCAAAAAACACCTCGATACCCCATTCATCACGGTAGGTCCACTAGAACCTCTTTTGTCGGTCCTTTCTCCGACACCGAGGGTTAAGCCTATTTGCGCTTGTACACGGCATCGAGTCCTCCTGCATACTTACTCACAATGCAGATTTCTGACGCTAACAAAGAAACATTGATTGGTTGATTGATTGAGTGCCGCATCGCGGAAAGGCAGGACACGCGGCCGCTTGTTCGGCTGACCCCCGATGAGGCCATGCCTCATGAGGCTATGGTAGAAGGAGAGCGAATCTCCGAAGAGGAAGCCGAGTCCAACGGCTGAA